TTTTTTTTTTTTTTTTTTTTTTTTTTTTTTTTTTTTTTTTTTTTTTTGTTTCATTTAATTACTTAGGTTACTTTATTAACGGTAATATTATTTATTAGCCTAGCACGTATTTTTCGTATACGAGTCTTCGCGCGTTACACTCATTGATTCTTCGAGTTCTCCGTTTAATACATTTTTCTCACGCCGCATTATTTCGCATTCCGGATTCAGAGAAGGAGACTTTGTCGTCTGTGATCCGTCTGTTTAAATGCGAACATGTTCCTACGAACAGGATAGCAAATCTCGAGTACACGGAGGGATTGGAGCTTATCAATTTCTGTGTTCGTCTTATATACTTTTCTGCGAGGTGATCTTGAAAAGATTTTTCGACTTTGTCGAGGGATAAAGCTTTGAGAAATTGGTAATTTCAATCGAATATTGTGCATCGATGTATAATTGATCATAAAAGTGTTCGACGACATTGAAATAATACATCTCAGTGAGAAAGAAAATAATTTAAAATATATTTTTTAACAGCTATCCATTGTTCTGTTATGCAGTGATATCAATCTAGTAGTATTTTTTAAATGCTCTTGCAAAGTTTTTACATCTCAATTTTTGACAAGAAGATTGAAGTAATCTGTAATTATGAAAGAAAACATACGCGTTTAAAGAAAAATTTTGAAAAAAATTCCTGAATTTAAACACATAATTCGCTAATCAATGGCCAACGCAATAATTAAAAATTAATTTCTTGAATTAAATTTAGCTACATTCGTAAAATATTTTCGACATTTTTATGATCAATTACGTGTCCAATATATCATCGCCTATATCATGAATAATATAGTCTTAGTTGTTTGTGTCTTGAACGTGACGTAAATCGGATTTATATATGTGATAGACGTATAGACTATTTGATTGATGTATGAATTTTCTGTAAAAAAAAAAAGAAAAAAAAATGAAAACTGACTGTTACCGCGATTATACATACGTATAGTAATATATACAGTATACGTAACTCATGCGAAAAGAAAGAAATCGAAATGTTGTACAAAAGAAAAATGTTGGCCTGTAATCATTGTAAAATATATTATTAATATATTATAATGAAAATGATCATACTCGACGATCGTGTGATATAAAAAGACAATGGCGTGGATTTTATTCGAAAACGTGCAAGTGATTTCTCGTCGATGGAATGTTGCATAGCTTTTAACTTTTAATTGATATTTTCGGGTCAATATATAACAAGTTAATTAATTGTCAAGTATTTAACCATTCAATAATTAAACTAAAAATCGAGTTTTATTAGATCATTAGGATCAATGAAATGAGAATTTATTATTCATTAGAAATTAAAAATGCATAAAGTATTGCATCTGATATCGGAAATCCTAATGAAAAATAAGTGATAATTTTTCAAGTCATTAATTTTCAAGTCCAAATTATTTGTACATTTATTATATGTACAATGTGAAATTTTATTTTCTAACTTTTATTTTACAAGATGAAAATTACACAATGATTAACGATCCTCATTGCGTAATGACTTTTTTACGTCATAAAATATAAAATACAAAAAAAAAAAAAAATTAAATATAAGAGAAACAAATTTTCTTTAAATTAATTGCGATTCCAATAATACAAATTAAAAGTTAAAAGTTTGATTGAATTCGTTTCGAGCGTACCGATTGTGATGCTATGGATTATAGTTATGTGAATGAAATTGCTGTCAAAGTTGTGATACGCTGACCAACATTTCAATATGAGACAATAATTATATTTTTTTAAATACAGTCCAATCAGAGAAAACGAATTCAATGAGATATCTCTCTGATGACACACAGTGTTATTGGTCATCTTGTGGCACACGATCAATAATCTTAGTAATAATAGAAATTTTTACCATTTTTACATATTGTGATTGTGACAGATTGTTATTTTTAGAAAAATTACTTGCTATAAGAGATTATTGTTATAGTTGTTATGAACTGTGTCAAGTCTTTACAACGACTGAAGGGCCTTCGAATGATTGTATTTGAGGATCACATGGGAGAAACATGATAAATTATTCTTGTTGCTTTTTACAGGAGAACAATTTTATTTTACTTCGATATTGAATTCAATTTTTTACGAAACCAAATTTCATACTTGATAACAAAATTTGCATCATATCTTTTGACATGACAGTCTTCCTTTTTTTTTTTTAAATTATCGTATTAAAATAATCCTCTTATTTTATTATTGTTTCATCAACAATAATAAAATAAAAAATTTAACAATGATGAATTTTACAGTGTTTTACCATCGTGGTCCTCATTCGTAAATGATTAACCTAATATTGATTAAATGTATATTTTATTTATTTGTATACATATCGCAGTACGATCGATAATTTATAAAGCAGAAGGTTAAAGAAAACGACGAGAAATTGTATATTGTTTGACTGTATTTTCATCGATCGACGAATTTACTTTAATACCGAACTTTTTATATATGTATAGATATAGACATAAAGAAACGTGAAAAGTTAAACGAAAATAAGGAAAATATAATGAGAGAATAGTATACGGAAAATCAAGTTGAAAACAGTATGAAACTTCCGTTTATACCTGCGCTTTCAGAACACGCTCTGTAAGCTCGATTTTTAAATCTCGAGGAAGCAAGCTCACTAACACAATCCCATTTCATTTTAAACAGCTTGCTCCAATTGTGTACTGGAAAGAAGAGCTCGGAAAATTAAAAAACGCAGTATTCTCGAGAAACAAATTAATATTACATTAATATTTAAAAAGATACACGATATTTTACTTTATTTAGAAATGGTGGAAACATTAGCAGAAAATTAAAAAAATAGCAGTGTTCTTTATGATGTGAGATTAAAGATACCTAGTATTGTCATTGAAAATATTTTGCAGCAATTATTATTGATCGATAATTTTTACTGTCTAGTAATTTGCGTCTAATGTCTGACGATGAATTAGTCGAAGATTTCCCCTTAGGATGTATTGTACCGTAATAGTATTAATCGTGGTGGAGCACAAACGATATTGTGTTACGTCGTTGAGTACAAATTTTTTTCTCAGGGATAGTTTATACGTACAGACACTTTGTCAGATGTTCTTTTTTGTCTTCTTCTCTCTTTTTTTTTTTTTTTTTAGGATGTTAGAGGGAGGTGATAAATGATAGTCAATAAAACGTGCGTGACGAAACGTGTTGTCTTTTCATGTACCATTGTGTTGGTCGATTAATGGATCGTTGGCAAATAAAATCGTTCGAAATTGATTGTCTTTATTGAATGTCGATTGGACACGTGGATCTCTTTGCTTTCTTATTTCTGAAGCTTGGTCGAGAAAACTTGGTATTATAAATCATATTTTAAAGAAGGAAGATGAACTTGAAGGTAACAATTCGTTTGAAATTTGGTCCAAGTTTTTGAAATATTCGCTATTTCTATTGAATTTTAATTAGTCATGAGTATCTCTTTATGTTCTGTAAGACAATCGTTGAAAAGAAAAGAAAATTTTATTTTTAAAAAGAGAGCAATATTTTGCTTGAAATTCGAATAAATATTCATCAGTCTACGTGACTGACGAATTGTTTCTTCATGACTTTGTTCGTAGAACGGTCGTTGGAGAATATCTTGAAACGGTTTTTTAGAAAAACAGAGAATTCGAGGATTGAGATCAACAACGACTTGTTTGAAGTTTGATCCAAGTATTCAAATGACTTACAATTAGTATCGTCGAAATAATCTGAATGTGTCGGTATAACGAGCCCTCGCGCTTCGAACCTTTGAAACGGAACATCGTGTTGGCTTTTAATAATAACGAATTCGAACATCACTTACAAGATTATCAAAGTCGAAAAGTCGAAGGGATGGTAGTTTATTAACCGTTAGAAACAAGTCTGAACGATGAATTGTTTTGAGGAAGAGGTATAATTTCACACGTTGTATTTTACATTGCTTGCTCGACTGTTATTCTTTTCAGTTGACGAAGATCAACGTGTTCCAATTAAATATTCTTATACCGTTGATTGAGATTTTGGACGTGTACGTGACGTTGAAAGAAGAATTCAGTCCGGATGAGTTTTGTATTCACTTATTTGTTAAGCAGCAGCCAAGGGAGAAATGTAAACCGTATTTCAACCCTGTTAGGAAACGTTTTAACAACGTCGAGGAGTTTAAGGTTAAATTTATTTAAATTTAGTAGAAACTTATTAAAATCTTTCACGTGGCAAATACAATACAGTTTGGGTTTTCCAAAGGCTTTGTCGGTTTCGGTGAGAAATATAATCATCGATCTGTTCATGAATATTGTTCGTTATATGGCTTTCTTGGAACCAATAAGTAAAGACTATTTGGATAAACAAAATTGTCGCAATTACAATGATTTACATCAAATTATAGGTAAGTTGTACTTTTTATCGAAATACACTAATACACTGATACTAACGAATTTTTGCTTTATTTGATACTTTATGTTGAAGCGTATGATGTAAATTAAAGAACGAGTTTATGATTGAAATAGAAGTTGAAAATGAAAAAAGTCAATAAATGACACGGAATGGCTTAGTTTTTATAATTTTTGTACATTATATATCATTCTGTATAATATTATACTGGCTGGAAAAAGTGTAATTATACATATTTATCATAGCAATTATATTCTGATTAATCAGATCTGAGAATACTAAATTCTCTGTAATTCAACAATATTTTTGCACGACTAGAAAAAAATTTGATACTATAAATAGGAAATAGAATACAATCTTGATGAAAAAAATAAATATAACCTGATAAAGGAAACATCTCGTTAAAAAATTAGGATATGTTCAAATAATTTCTACAGCCACTGTAATATAATAACAAATCTTATGGCCGCCAGTGTATTTCCTTCTTTAAAAGGCAAACTCTTTCATTAATAAAACTATTATAAGCATTTGATTTTTCAGTGTTTGTATACATCTTATCATACAGAATATGCAGTTTATTCTTCGAAGATTCGGTCGAGTGTTTCGTTTACTTTAAAGTAAGGAAAATGTTGTCCCTTATTGCGTATCTCCTTCGCACGGAAACTCCGAATCTTCTTCACGAGAAAGGTTGCTCGACGTTCGAAGAAGATTTCGTGGAGCAGAATCTCGTTCTTCCGTTTTTAGAAGCAACGCCGTGCTTAGAG